GGAGCTGGGGCTGGGGCTGGGGCTCCGCGTTCCTGATGCGTTACCGCGTTTCTTCATGTTTTCACTGAGTGTGAGGAGAACGTGGGAGCCGTGCTGCCCGCGGACAGCTCCCAGGACGGGGGGGACCTCTTGAAGCCCATTTTCCGTCGAGGACACGGAGCCTGGGGAGCGGGGGGCCCGGGAGTCCCAGGCAGGTGACACCAGCTTGTGTGGGATTGTGACCGGGACGCAGGGACGTGGGGCAGCGACCGTGCACGCATCGTCGGGTCTCTCCTCCCAGCTGGGCCTCGTGGCCGTGGGCTTTGCCTGGAGAAGGCGAGACGACCCGCACTTCTTCACCGAGTCTCTGCGCGCGGCCACCGAGGGCCTGGACTCTGAGCTTGAGGAGCGAGCGAGGTCCCGCGCGCGGCACCACGCGAGCCAGATGGAGGAGGTGAGGCTGCCCTCTGTGCCCCGTTCCAGCCCCGTCCGGATCCGCACTTCCTCTGCGGATTCAAATTCAGTTGCAGTCTAGGGTGTGATTTCATCTCTTATGCTCCTTTGTGTGCGCGACGCGATGGGTGAACACACAGCATCTGTTTCCTTCCCTCTACCCCCATCCCAGAGAAATCAGAGCATCGAGTACATGAGCTTATTTTACATAATTGAAGCAAAATGAGAAATAGATTCTTGGCCACAGTTTTAGAAAACTTCTAAGTCATTTACATTTCCGTGGACCCACAAGAATTTCACTTCTTCCCGGCTTCCTCCCTCCGTCTCCTCCCTCCCTCCTTCCTCCTGACGGCAGTGGTCCCGGTTGTGTGTGGGGCAGGCTGGGCGACAGGAAGGAAGAGGAAGGTCTCTGGTGGGGACACGCACAGGCTCATGGCTACCTCAGTGCAGTGACCTGTGGCGGGCACTGTGTCCTCGGGTGCAGTGAGCAGCGGTGGGCCGTGACCGAGGACGCAGCCCAGTGTCCCGACACTCAGACCTCACCCCTACCTTCTCCCACCTGACTCCCATCCTTCCAAAGGTGGCCAGTGAGCTCCTAATGACTCCCCTCCTCTAAGTGACCTGTCGGCCCCCCCGGGACGCCGTCGGTGACAGTGACAGGAGCGGACTTCGTAAATGGCCCACTGCCCACCGGCCTGCTGTCGGTGACCCGTACGAAGTGTCCCTGTCCCCAGCCCCAGGAGGCACGGACAGCGCCACCGCTCCCGGGGCCTGGCAGGAGTGCCGGAGCTCCCCGGCTCACAGCGCTGCCGTCCCCACAGATGTTGGCCGCCCGACAGCGAGCACGCCGCCTGCGCTGGGCACGTCCACCGTCCGCAGCCCAGCTCAGCGTCATCAGGGAGAGGACGAGAAGAGAGACCCGGACAAGGGTGGCCCTGAGGTGGGTGGTGGCCGGCCGGGCCTTGCTCTGCTCCCGCGGCCCCTGGGAGCGGGGTGTGCAGGTGGGGGCCCAGCCGCAGGGGAGGGGACACTAAGGGGACAGCGGGCCCAGAGACAGCAGGTCTGGAGGGAGGCTGAAGCCGCTCCTTCTGCGTATGCTGCGCCTAAAATTCTGGAAAATCCCACAAACATGAAAATGAGAAAAGCAGACAGAAGAGAATTGAGTAAAGTAACAGGTTAAAACACGAAAATGCAAAGCCCAATGTCCTTCATATGCACAGTGAAAGCCAGTAGAGGATTTGCCAGAAGGCTCTTTAACGTGGCCAAGGAATAAAACACCACAGACACACGCGGGCGTCACGGTGAGAGGAGATGCACCAAACTTCCACAGGAGAAGCGTGCGCGGTCCTGAGAAGCACAGATGTCTCTTGAACATCACGTGTTCTCCAGCTCCATCTAAAATCGTGTCTGACATCAACACAGCCCCGATCAAATGCCACTGGACCTTTCTTTTCTTCCTTCCGCTCCCCTTCTTTACCGGATCTGGTCACTTACGAAGTCCCTTTGGAAGAACAGCGGCGGAGAGCCGGTTGGGAAGACCCGAGGCAGCGGACTGAGTGGGGGCTCGCTGTGCAGGACGTTTCCGCAGAGCACAGGCCTCTCCTAAAGAGTGTGGCTCTGTGAACGGACGAAGACGGCCCCGTGGGCCGGGATCGGAAATCCAGGACCAGACCCGAATGCAAATGCCACGGCGCACGAGTCTGTGACAGAGGCGTTATCTCAGCGGGTTGGGGAGAAGATGGAGTTTTTAATGAGGAATAAGTGAATGGTCGTGAGGGTAGTGTTAAAAAAACGAACGACCAAATACTTTTGTCACAAGGTACGCAAGTTCATTCCACACGAATAAAGATTTAAACGTGAAAACAAAACCATACACGTCCCAGAAGGACATGTGTGTCAATGTATGACCTGTGGGCGGGGAAAACCTCCTGTGACTTAAAATCCAGGAACTAGAAGAGAAAACAAATTTGGAGACATGTAACTTGAAGAAGAAAAATCTCGTGTGACAAATGATGCCGTAAGTTATGTAAAAAAGCAGTGATGGATGAAGGAAAATATCTGTAGCAGACAAAGGCTTAATCTTAAAATACAGAGAGGTTCCAGAAAAATGAAGAAGACCAACCGCCTCTTTAGAACAAAACTGGGCTCAGGAAGCCGACACTTCACAGAGAAAAGAAATGCAAATGTCACTTGCACTTACGATGAGAGATCACAAATTTAAAGTACAAAAGTCTGGAAGTGAGACCACGTGCAGCGGCTGGTGAGCTTGTGAACACGTGACATCACGTGGTGCTGGTGTGAATGCAGGCTGGTCCCACCCGTGGGGACCGGGAAGTCCTTTGCATGTCACAGATGCACATACCTCTTCCCAGCATCCCTGCTGCAGGGAGCCCCTCAGCAGAACCCGAGAAGACCCAGGTGCAAGGCAGGCGATGCGGGACCCCTTGTAATAGAAACAGCCTAAACATTGAAGCACCTGGGGGGCTCAGTCGGTTGAGCGTCCGAATCTTGATCTCAGGGTTGTGAGTTCAAGCCCTGCGTTGGGCTCCACCCTGGATGTGGTGGAGCCTACTTAAAAAAAAAAAAAGGGGGGGGGCACCTGGGTGGCTCAGTTGTTTGAGCATCTACCTTCGGTTCAGGTCATGATCTCAGGGTCCCTGGATCGAGCCCCGCATCGGGCTCCCTGCTCAGTGGGGAGCCTGCTTCTCCCTCTGTTTGTTGCTCACCCAGCTTGTGCTCTCTCTCTCTCTGACAAATAAATAAGTAAAATCTTAAAAAAAAAAAAAAAAAAAAGGGAGAGAGAGGAAGAACCAGATATTATGTGTCTCCTGACGGAAAACACATCACCTAGGACGTAACCTACCCCAAATAGCCTGGTCTTTATCTGAGCACATTTTTGTGCCAGCGTGTTGTTGACAAGAGAGCACACACTGTGTCCCTAGGAAGCAGGACACAGAGAGAGGGAGAGGTAGCAATAGAACCAGTTTTCTCAATAAATAAGCCACAGAGACCAACTAGGGATGGAGGTGCTGCCTCTGGGGTAAAAGAGACACAAGAAGGAAATAGTGAATTGAATCCACGGTAGTACCAGACTAGTAAGAAAAACCATATGAGGGGCGCCTGGGTGGCTCAGTCGTTAAGCGTCTGCCTTCGGCTCAGGTCGTGATCCCAGGGTCCTGGGATTGAGCCCCACATCGGGCTCCCTGCTCAGTGGGAAGCCTGCTTCTCCCTCTCCCACTCCCCCTGTTTGTGTCCCCTCTCTCGCTGTGTCTCTCTCTATCAAATAAATAAATAAAATCTTAAAAAGAAAAAACCCATATGATCATCTCAGCAGATGGAGAAGAAACCATTTGACAAAATTTGACATCCATTCACGGAAAAGAAAAAAAATCTCAGTGAGCTAGGAATAGAAGAGAACTTCCCTAAACTAATAAAGGGTATCTGTGAAAACCCTACACCTAACCTCACACTTGCCAGTGAGACAGTGTGTGCTTTTTAAAAATCAGAAACAAGGTGAGGAGCTCCCGTCCCCCCAACTCTGGTTAAATCTCACATGGGAAGGCCCAGCTGGTGCCGGAGGCAAGACCAAGAAACACAGCGTTTACAAGTTTGAAAAGAAGAAATACAACAGCCTCTTGCAAGGAGACATAAATAGTCTATGCAGAAAATCTCGAATATTCTAAATAAATCTAAGAAAACGTGCAGAACTGATAGGCCGAAAACGACAAGACACTAATGAACAAAATCAGAGAAAACCTGAAGAAATGGAGGGACACGTCATGTCTGTTGGAACACTCGTGTTAAGGTGTCCATTCCTTCCAACTCGATCTATAGATTCAGTCCCAGCCGAAGTCCCACAAGCTTTTCTATAGATATTGGCGAGCTGATTCTAAAATTTATATGGAAAGGAGCTAGAATAACAAAAACAATTCTGGAAAAAGAACAACAAAGCCAGAGGACTGATTCTACCCGACTTTAAGTCTCCCTACAAAGCCAAGCCACGGTGACCAAGACCCCAATATTGGTGAGAGGTCAGCACAAATGTGCTCAGTTAATTTTTTGACAGGGCAAGGCCCTTCTCATTGGAGGATGGATTTTAAAAATGGTGCTAGGAAAACTGGATGTCAGGTGTGCGGGAAAAATGAACCTCAGCACACACTTCACACCTTATACAAAAAAGGATTTAAAAGCCCAGTTCCCAAAACTGTTTTGCTGGGTCTAGACACCCAGGGTTGGTGTAGATGCTAATTTTAAAATGTGTTTCTTGTAGAGACATCTGCATGTACACCCTCATGCTGCTTCTGCATGTATTTATACTTTGTGGGAGATGCTCCCAGGATGAATATTCTCTCAATCAAGCCATCCGGAATGAGTTTACAAGGTAGGATGTTTTGTCCACCTTCTCTAGACCCCCGACCACCGCACTAGGAGTGGTCTGCTCGTGGCCAGCATACGCTGACGGGGGGACCCAGAGACCAGGGTTTCGGGACGGTGGCGAAGCACCTTCTCTGGGCCTCCGTTTTGCAGAAGTAGAATGTCCTGATGGAGAGGACTAGATGGTCGCCACCATCTCACATAGGAAACATGGAAAAAGTGGTCGAATTGACTCGGACATTGTTTGCCCCACTGTTAACAGGAGGCCTCTTTTTGCAGACTCTGGGCACGATCAGAGCATCTCATTTTGATTAATAGAGAAATGATATTTTGAGGCACGTTAAGGTCTGGGCACCAAGACACTAAAACAGGTTATTGGGGTGGTTTTTTGGTGGAGGCTGTCTGAGTTCCTCGACCAAAGACTATGGCAATTTGCAAGAAATGGCACATGATTTCCAACGGTGGTAATTCCCCTTGAGCTCTCTGCCACTTCTCAAGTGCTCATTAGTCTCTTCCTACTTTTAAAAGCAATAGATGTTGGGATGCCTGGGTGGCTCAGTCGGTTGAGCGTCTGCCTTCGGCTCAGGTCATGATCTCGGGGTCCTGGGTCGAGTCCTGCTTCGGGCTCCCTGTTCAGCGGGGGAGTCTCCTTCTCCCTCTGCCACTGCCTACTTGTGCTCTCTCTCTCTCTGTCAAATACATAAATAAAATCTGTAAATAAATAAAAGTAGTAGATGTTCATTGTAGGTAAGCATGGAAGAACTGAAAAATAGAAAGCAGAAAAGTCTCAGTAACAGTACCACCCAGAGGCAACCACGGACAGCATTTTGTCGTGCCAGAATTTTCTCCATGTTTCAGCATTTCTGAAATCGGAACAGGAACTATATCAAGGTGGATACTTTCTTTGTGTGGCATTCTTTTTTTTTTTTTTTTTTGACAGTTGTTTTTAAGTGACTTTGTTTTCACCTGCCAAAAATATTCAGTCTGATAGTTGTTTCAAAGAAGTTCAGCTTTGAGTTCTGAAGTGCATGATATGAACTCATATTGATTCTTTACTATGGCAGAAGTAAAATACAGTGTTATAAGATTTACTTTCTCTTTCCCTGGAGAATATTTTATTTTATTTTGTTTTTTAAGGATTTTATTTATTATTCTGAGAGAGAGAACACGAGCAGGGGGTCGGGGCAGAGGGAGAGGGAGAAACAGGCTCCCCGCTAGGCAGGGAGCCCGATGCAGGACTCGATCCCAGGACCCCGAGATCATGACCTGAGCCGAAGGCAGACGCTTAACCAACTGAGCCACCCAGGCATATCTCTGGAGAATATTTTAAAATACATTCCTGCATTTTTTTCTATGACTATGTTGTCCTTGACTAAGTAATTCAATTTGATGTACTTTATTTTTGTTGCTTTTGGGGGGCAGAGGTGGGTGGCTGGCAAATCTATTGAATTTTATCTATTAAGGGCGTATTTCTTTTTATCTTCCGTGAGAGAGCTGGTGATTAATACCCACCCAGGTGACGGGTGAACAAATGTAGGGTCAGAAGCCACTAGTGAAGTGGTTCGTGAGTCTGGACTCTCTGCAGAACACAGTAATGCACCTGCTCACCGGTGAGCATTCTAGCCGTGAAACTGCCTCTCCTTTGCAGAAACGGCTGTTCTTTCCATAAACGACCAACTCGTCAGCTCTCCACCCCCCCACGTAGGCACAGTTTGTGCCAGCAGGAGGCGCCATGCGCAAAGCAAAGTGACCATGTGGGTCGCCCTCTCTCGAAATGGAAAGGAAAACCTGAGCTATTTCTGGCTTTCGTCGTTTAGTTTTGATCTCATATTTCGTAAGTCAGCACTACTTGACATATTTCTGATACGAATTCTTGCCTCTTGGTACCCAAATCAGAAATATCGCAGCTGAAATAATATTTGTGAGACGTGTCCTGCGCAGAGCCATTGATAGGCTTGGATTCATGGCTCAGAGGCTGGCCCCCTGGGTGTGCATGGACCCGTATCTCCTACTACGATGCAAAATGCAAAATCCCGTTACCTCTGGCCCCCAGGCAGGGGCATCTGTGTGTCCGGGTTTGTACTGGGATATTCAAGCTGGACCCTCTCCCCCACCGTCCCCTGGTGCCTGATCCTGAAACTCCAACAGCATCTTAGGGTTTAGAGTTTGCCGGCTTCCAGGAAGAACGAAAGCACAGTTGGATCCAGTCTAATTCAGAGACCTGGCTTCGTTCCGCTTAGTTCAGTTAGCAGGTGACTCGGGCAAATCCTCCGACTCTGGGCTGAGTATCCCCATCTGCAAAGTGAGGCAGTTGTGCTGCTTGATTTCTTAGGTCTTCACCAAAAAAATGATCACGATATTGGATTCCGTCATATTCAAGTTTTCTTTGAAGTCTTTCTGGACTCAATCAAGTCTTCATGAAAGTCCAAGTAAAACAGAAATAAACCACCGAATAAAGCACCAATAAATGAAATAGTCACTCTGTCCAAGAGCCATAAATGGGATATAACTACTGACTTTAGTTTTGCAATGTTTCGCAAGCTCTGTAGGCCTGTTTTATTTAATAGTTCTAGTTAATATGGAGCGAGAACATTCTTGGATGGTTTGGCTCACTCCCTGCTCTCTGCCTGTGTCGAGAACAAGGCGTGAGTTGTGCACAGTCTGTGCGCGAGACAGCTATCTCTGATCACATCCAGGTCTTTCTTAAAAATTTTATTTATTTATTTTAGAGAGAGCTCGGGGGGTAGGGGAGAAGCAGAGGGAGAGGGACAAGCAAACTCTGTGCTGAGCGCAGAGCCCTATGTGGGGCTCGATCTCAGGAGCCTGAGATCATGACCTGAGCCGAAACCAAGAGTCAGATGCTCAACTGACTGAGCCCCCCCAGGCGCCTCCACATCCAGGTTTTTCTTGAAGACTTTGTTTCCTTACCGTCATCCCACTGAGGAGCGACAGTCAGAAAGTGATATTATTCCCTCCCAATTGTGGTTCAACCAGGACTTCGCTCAGTGTACAGCATATAACCAACACCGTACAAAGGGTCTGCTTGGATTAGGCTCTAAAAATGGACAAACCAATGAAAGGCGGAAGTCATGTGTGAGTGAGTCCGTAAGGAGAAGGAGATAGAAGCAGTAAGATAAGTTAGCTCACCAGACTTACTTCCACGCTCCTTGAACGTGTTTGAACATACTTACAGCCCATGCGAATGTTGATTGAGATCATTTGCTTTTCTCTATTAATCTATGCACTAGTGACTTACCGCTAACATGTCACTAACAGGACACTTCTTCCTCTTTGATTTCGTTCCCTTTTATATTGTCCAGTTTCTGTCATGACTGTCAGGGTTTAAAGCACTTCCTAGGTGTCTCTAAAACCTGCCCCAATCAGCAACATAGTATCTGCCCCAATCCCTCTCCAGGTGCGGTGGTAAGTGTAACATGGGTTCTGGGGAGCGACAGCACGCACCTGTCACACCTGCCCGCCTCTGCCCGTGCTGTCAGCGCTCCCGCCACGGTCGGCTCCACGCTACGGCCGTGGGCGCGGAGCCGGGGCGGCGGGTGGCGGCCGATTCTGGCCGCTCAGGGTTGGGCCCCGGCCGCGTGATGGCCCGACCTTGCGCTCACGTCTGTTTAACGAAACCAGAAAGGTGTTTGAAGAGCTCATCATCGCTGTGTTCTTCGGGGGGTCTAGATTTGGCAGCTGGACGCGGCAGGATGATGAAAATTGTGTCCTTGGATGACTGGAGTTTCGATCTTTTCCTAACTTCTCATCGCTTTCCCACAATATCACTTCTCCCGAGAAGCGTTCTGGTCTCCCCTTCTCATGGAGGGACACCCGGCTGTAGGAGCCGCCGGACGCCCACTGGCCTCTGCCGTGGGGACGTTAGCCCCACACCATCCTTGCCTTTCCATGGGTCCTTCCCACGAGGCCACGTGGAAGGAAGGATTTTAGGGGTAGGTGAGAAGTATTTTGCTCTCTAAAGAAATTTACCTTTTCCCTTTTCCGTCCAGCTGAGCAGCTTGGAGCTCCTGACGCTCTGGTGTGCAGCTTGGCTCCGTCTGAGTGAGCGGAAATGATCAGTCGTGTCCGTCTGCAATGATTTCAGGGCTCCCTTAAATCAGTCCCTTGTTGGAAGGTGAAGCAGATATCCAATAAGAGTAATACAAATTAACTGGAAAGAAACCAGACCAACGTTTGTTGACCTGCAGCTATGAGCAGTCCTGCGCTGGGTCTGCGCCAGTTTGCTGAAGGCTCGAGCCGTCTCGGGTGGCAGGCTCGCAGCTGGGGTGGCTTCTGGCTGGGGAGAGGACGGGCAATGCCGTGCCTGCAGGCAGCGGGGTTGACAGGACCGTGCCTCTCCCCGCGGGCCCCAGCTCCCCCCACTTCTGCTCCCCACCCCGTGCTCGCTCTGCACTGGCCTCTCCACGTCCCACACGAGGAAAGCTGTCGGGGGGGACAGGCGACCAAGCGACAGGTGCTTGATCGCAGGGCCCTCTCCCCGCCTCCCGCCGAGGAGCAAAATGGGCTCCGGGCTCACGCTGTACCTGCGACTGTGCACGACTTTGCTTCCTTTCCTGCAGTTACCACCAATTCGTGTTGGAGAAAAATCGCTTTTTGTTTCTGCTCTTGTGCTCAGGGGTGCTGGGAGCGTCTCCGGCGGCCTGAGAAGTGTGGGTGACTGGTGGGGCTGGAGTCTGACCACGCTGCTGGACGGCCTGCACGGGGGAGGCGCCTCCACAGCCGGCCCGCCAGGCACTCAGGTGGGCTTCCGTCTGCTGTCCACTCGGACTCATAGCAGGGCAGTGCGTCACGGTGGGGCGAGGGAGCCAAGATGCTTGACCTGCAACACTCTGCACACTCTCTCTCTCTCTTTTTAAAGATTTATTTATTTATTTTAGAGAGGCAGAGCACAAGCAGGGGAGGGACAGAGGGGGAGGGAGAGAAGATCCCAAGCAGACTCCCTGCTGGGCTCAGAGTGCGACGCGGCTCGATCTCACCACCCTGAGATCACAACCTGAGCTGAAGCTAAGAGCTGGACGCTCGACCGACTGTGCCGCCCAGGCCCCCCCCGTGTGTACCCTTGGATGACCGCTAGGTTGAAGGCCAGTGGCTGGTGGTGCATCCGTTGCTCCTCCATGTCAGCACACCCGCCTGAGCCACACACGCACCCCCGGACACCAGCAGGTGCCAGGCTGGACTGGACGCAGGGCATGGCGGGTCCACGTGAGCTTGTGGGCCAATGGGGATGGCTAGATCAGTGAGCAAAATGCCGTGACATGGGGACACAGGGCACCGAGGGACGGGGGGAGCATCCAGGAGGCTTCCAGAAAGAGGCAAGCCTTTCCCCAAATTCTGAGAAAAAAATTACCAGTGAAGAGCATTGCATAGAATATGAATAAAGCCTCTTTGGGACAGTGCTCCGTGCCTCTGACGTCTAAGAATATGGCACGCGGCGTGTTCCAGCTTCGCGGTCTGTCCAACGGTCTTGCGTTTCCCTTCGTCCTCCAGCCTGGAGCCCTTGGTGGGAAGTGCTACCTGCTGGGCACTCCGGTCATCCAGCAGCTGAGAGATCCTTCTGGCGGCGTGTGCGAGGTAAGCCGCTCTCCTCCTGGTTATTTCTTTGTGTGTGTGCGTTTTCTCCCAAGCATCACTCCTTATTTATGTATTTATTTTATTGAAGTAGAGTGAATATACCATGTTAGGAGTTTCAGGTGTATGATACACTGATGCAGCCATTCTATACGCCCCCTGCTGCTCATCATGACAGGTGCACTCCTGAATCCCCCTCACCTGTTTCCCCCATCCCCTGGCCCACCTGCCCTCTGGCGACCACGAGGTTGTTCTCTGTAATATACAGTTAGAGTTAGAAAAGTCTTGGAGACGTCGGGCAGAAAGGCCACGGACCAGGAACCCTCTCTGGGAGCCTGGCTGTGACTTGAAATCGTCAGTGGCCGCGGTCCGGGACAGCCAAACCTTTCCCACGCCCTCTGCTGGTCCTGGCATGCTGTGGGAAGCCAGGACATCTCTCTCTAAAACACCGAAAATACTCCCAACCAAGATTCTCGCATCTTCTCCTGGTTGGGAGGGGCTGCTCGAGGGCATGCAGCTCACCCGTGTCCTCCCAAGACGGAGCCCTTCTGATGTCCAAGCCCAGACGGGTGCACGGCTCAGGTGCCAGCCTCCGCGTGGTGGAGCCCTGATCCTTCGGGCTCGGCTAGAGCCCAGGGACGACAAGGGGGCTTTGAGGGAGCAGGGGCCGTGTGTGGCCAGCCTTGGACACCCCAGGCCACAGGGCTAACTTTGAAGCAAGCGTCTGATTCTCCTCCGACTGGTGGTTTCTCCTCCAGCTTCCCAGCCCACCTTCAGCACTTTCCGAAGACTCTCCTCCTCCACATGGCCCCAAAGTCGGAGGCCCTGACACCCCCTCTGCGGCAGATCCCGCCATCCAAAGAGTGGCCCCGAGTGGCCCCAGAGGCTGTGGGGCCAGGGAGCCCTGGGTGCTCAGCCTGGGCAGCACAAGGTCAGTGGGATTCAGAGGTCGGCTCCGCCCGGGCCTGCCCGTCCATGGCTCCTCGCGGCAGCTGGATGCCACGGCACGCCCATCCTGAGTCAAGGGCAGGTGTGTTCTCACTGCAGAATGACAGGAGTGAGGCCCAGGGCAGGAGGCCATGTCAGAAGATCAATGCCAATGGAGGGCTTCAGTCTCTGAGCATAAGAAGGAACAAGCCGGACGTTCCTCTAGAATTTGCCAGAGGCCTGGAGGTCAGGGAGCCTAACGGACACTTGTCCTCGCTGGCTCTGTGCTGAGTAGGATGCTCACGGGGCCTCATGGTCCTCACATGCTCTGCGAAGGAGGCAGCCCCACCTCGGTCTGGCGTTGTGCAGATGAGCCTCCGAGTTGCAGCCACGGTCCACGGTTGGTGGCCCGACCCTCTGGCAGCCATGGCAGCACATGACCTGCATGGGGGGGGACTGTCTGAGGGTGACAGGGGGCCCTGTGGCAGGTGATGGGTGCCTCTGAGTGATGCAACAACACAGAAGGGAGATTCTTTCATTGTTACCAAACACAGACAGGTCAAAGTTAGCTTCTTCCCAACACCGGAGTAAGTCCACAGCAGAAAAGATAAAAGAAGATTCTAGAGGCCTTGCAGAGAGAGATGGTTACCTCGCTCCGAGTTGTGCCCGTGAGAGATGGAGGGCCTCCCTCCCCTGGAACGTCCCTGCCTCAGGTCCCGGGCAAGGAGCGGGGACACGCACAAGTGTGTCTGTCCAGCCCCAGGAACCTGGGTGGCCCCGGGCCCAGGGCGCGAGGCTGGGGGCGGAGGGCTCTATGCAGGCTTTGCCCCGACGTGCACCACTTTGCAGGCCGGCAGCCCACGCAGCCCTGAGCAGCCTCCGGGCCAGCAGGTGGATCGACCGCAGCACCAGAACCGTGTCTGTGCACTTCGCTCTCTATAACCCTCCCACTCGACTCCTGTCCAGCGTGTCCCTTCGCGCCGAGCTTCTCCCTGCAGGGGGCCTGGCCTTCTCCCCATTGGTGGAGTCGCTGGCTGTCTTCCGCAGTGACTCGGCCCTGTGGTCCAGCCCCACGCTTCCCGAGGTGGGTCCTCCTGCCTCTCCCCTGCACGTGGATCCCGGGGCTCCACCTGCGGCCTGCTCCCCACCTCCACCCGGACCCGCAGGGTCGCAGAGCCCTGCACTCAGTACCATCAGTCTTTCTTTGGTTTGACATGAACGTTGGCCCGCCCCAGCACTGCTCCCCAGAGGGACAGAGCAGCGTCCCGAAAGAGGCTTTATTAGCTCCAAAGTGTTAACCGGAAGGGTCCAGGGGAGCTCAGCAGGACTGACCTGCCTGGGGACTGGGACGGGTTTAGCTCCAACCCTTACTAAGCATCCTCTCGCGGCTGGCGCTCTGAGTGAATGAATGCAGGCGAGCAGGAATGCACAACTCATCCAGGCAGAGATAAGCATAAGCAGAGCTTCAAGAAATTCCTGATACAGGAGCTTCGAAGGCTGTATGTGGCCAAGGAGCTGATAATACATATATATATATATATATATATATATATTTCACAAATATGAGAAAACTCATCTCTGGAGCTGGGTGAGGACGGGAGGGGAGGACCCTGCCAGGTCACGCTCGGGGTCTGCTCATGTGCGGGGCCCACGGAGAGCTCACCCGCATCCCTCACCCCTGGCACGGTCCTGTCCGACTTTCTGTTTGCTCTGCTCTGTTGGTGTTCCCTCTACCAGCTGGCCCTCCTGCTGCTCAGCCTGACTCACCTCTGCTTGCAACTCTGCAGCCTGGCCGAGAAGGGTTTCCGCAGCTACTGTCGCAAACCAGGGACCTGGCTGGAGGTAGCCGCTCCTGTCGTTTCCGTGGGCGAAGCAGGAACAGTGAAGCCCTTACCTGGAAATGAACCTATTTCTAGTGGGAAACTGCTTATGTCCTGGCTGATTCCACCCGTCGTGAGGTCTCCCCCCGTCGTGTTCACGACAAATAGCGTGAGATCAGTGTCCACTTCCTGCTCTCACACCGACGTTGCACCCTGAGCCGCTCGGGGGCCACGGTGGGCCCCTCCCCCGGCGCCCCCTGAGTCTCCTTTCTCTTCCCCGCTGCAGCTCGCAGTAGTGGGAGCCGGCCTCGCCTGCCACGCAGCCTCCAGCCACCTGGCGACGCTCGCTGGGGAGGTGACCGACCACTTCCACAGAGGACGCTTCCGAGGATCTATGGATCTCACTGTGGCGGCCTCGTGGAATCAGGTACAGCAGGGAGTCCAGGTGGGTCCATGCTCTGTGACGCTGTCCAGAGGAAGAGGTCATACACGTTCTAGAAGGTTCCAGACAAGGCATTTGTTCCATATTGAGGGAAATGCTCAGAGCTCGAGGATGAGGGTGAGCGGGACAGGGAAGTGCTGGAATCCACGCTGTGGGCTGGGGCGCCCTGGTCTGTGTGGGGACTCAGAGCACGGAGTTGCTCCAGTGACTCCCTGTGACCCTGAGTGGGGGAAGGAGCAGGTGTTGAGGTGGCGGAAAGGAGGCACCAGCAGACTTAGGCACGTCAGGTCTGTCCTCTCTCCTCCTTCTGCGCCGTCCAGAGGTGAGCGGTGTGAGCCACGGGGCGGGTGGGGCTTCACGTGGGGGTTGGGCCATCAGAGCAGGGGATGGGGGCTCCATGAGAGGAGCAGAGCCAGCCAGTGCACACCAGGGCGGGCGAGCCCAGGCGGGTCCTGCCGGCAGACGTGGATGTAGGTGGGCGGAGCCCCCATGGTCCGCTTCCTTGTCCTGCAGCCTCAAAGCTCACCTCCCCCACGCCGCGGGACTCCTGGAGCTCCCTTTTCTACCCAGTGAGGGCTGCCAGGGCCCCAGATGGGCTCATGCCCCCGGGCTGGGCCCTCCTAGAACAACCTAGAAGGATGGGTTATTCTGGAGCGCCCGGGTGGCTCGGTGGGTCTGCCTTCAGCTCAGGTCATGATCCCGGGGTCCTGGGATCGAGCCCCACATTGGGCTCCCTGCTCAGTGGGAAGCCTGCTTCTCCCTTTCTCCACTCATGCTTCCTCTGTCTCTCTGTCTCTTTATCAAATAAAGAAAATCTTAAAAAAAAAAAAAAAAAGAATGAGTTATTCTGTGAGCCGGGTGCTGACTGGCCTCCAGGCTGGAGGGGGTCCATGCACGATGGGGCCCCGAGGTCGAGCTTCACGTACAGGTTGCTGGCACAGAGCACCCCCTCCTGGCCTTCCTGTCTCCGTTAACTGTCACTGCATCCTCATGGCGCTTACCAGCCTCCACTATGACCTGCGTTGTACTGACTTGGTTAAACGGCTGGAGGCTCCCGGAGGGAGGGAGATGGGCGCTCTGCTTCACCGCCATTGGGGGGGCCGCTCTCTGGGATGGACAGTGGGCTCCGGGTCTGCCTGTCACGGCGCGTCCGCGCTCCCCGGCCCTCCTCCAGCTGGAGTCCAGCTGGCCGTGGGCACCGCCCCCCCCAACTGTGGCTGCAGTGCCCGGCTTTCCCTGCTGGTTCAGGGAACCACGGGCCGGTGGCCGGCTCTGCCCGTCTCTGCCCCCGCCTTGTCCCCGGGTCACGGAGGGCTGCGCCCGGGCCTCAGGAAGGGGCGGTACCCACTCTCTACGTGATCTTCTCGCGGTGTGGGCAGGGGCGGTCCTGTCGAGGGGGCACCGTGGGGCGACAGTGAGTGCGGTCTAGCGTGCCTGGGTCTGTGCGCCTGCCGTAGCTGGTGGGACACACTGACCTGCCCTGTCCTTCTGTCTCAGAGGGTGACCTGGCTCCAGGGGACCCTCTCGTTCCTCCTGACGCTGAAGTTCATCTGCCTCATTGGCATCCCGAGCACGAGGGCATCCTGCTCCTTCCTGCTGCGTCGCTCTCTGGCTGGCATCTGCACGGCAGGGGTAAGAGGGCTCCCCGGGCCGAGTTATCTCCCGACAAACCAGCACGGTCCGTGTTCTCTGCAGTGAGCCCTTTCTCCAGGGAGACACGAGCTCTCAAAGTGAGGTGCAGCCTAGAGGCCCGGGCGTCCTGCATCCCGGAGTGGTTTTAGATCAGGGGTGAAGGTGGTTCTAGAGTGAGGAGTGCCCGTGAACACGGGAGCCCAGGCGCACTCCACACGTGCTCTGCTGCACCCCTTCCCGGAGCACTCGTCCTTACGACTCATGCAAGGAGCTGTCACCACCCACGGAGCGGGCTCTGCACACCAGGAATGGCGCCTGGCTCTCTAGTAATTCCCGCCCTGATGATCACAACCAAGCGCGGCAGGTGCCGGGGTGGAGGGAGGAGGGAGGTTCTTCCTCGGAGAGAGGAGCGGGGTGCTAACTCCAGTGACAGACCCCACTTCCCTTGTTCCCAACTCTGGCCTTGCACCTGAAAACCGCCCTACGAATACCTGAAACCCACTTGAGTGCTGTTTACCCCCCACGTGGAATCGTGCCTCAGTGGGCTGCAGAAGAAAGCACGTGCGTAGGGTTCTCGGGAAGCCTGGCTCCCACCTGGGGGGGGGTCAGGTCTCAGTCCAGGGCTGGCCCAGTCTGGCAGGCTGTTGACACCCAGAATCAGGAGGGCCAGAGCCCCACATGGGATGCTGGCCAGATTCTGGGGTGCAGGTGATTCTGACCTGGCCCCCGGGGGGAAGAGCTTGCACCAGCCCAGCGGCCCCTGTCCTGCCCCCGCAGCTGGACTGTCGTCAGGGCAGGGGGAGGGTCCAGACTAGCTGGTCTGATGAGGGGGTCTGGCTGTCAGGGTCCCAGGCTCAGGCAGCTCACGGCGAACCAAGCATAGATCTCCAAACCCTGCTGGCCTTATGCTCAGTGGGACAGACTGCGCAAATCAGGGCAGGAAAAGCTGACCCAGGAGTTGGAGACCTGGCTTCAAGCCTGGCTGCACCTCTCCCGAACCCACTGTCCCAACCGTGGGGCTGTTACCCGAGCTCCAGCTCCGGAAGCTCCTGGCACGTGTGTGTGCCTGGTGAGGTACCGCGGGCTTAGAGATTACGTGTATGTGGAACTTATGTACTAAACTGGTCATTATTATACCACGTAGCAATGCGAAGAATGCTTTTTTTTTTGTTAAGAAAACACAGAATATCGTGAATAAATCGTGTCCAAATTAAGTAACGGAATCTGAACCGTTCAGAAATTAGGGGTGTGCAGGGAAGGGTGATCACACTTGCTTGGTCCAGATGGTGGACCGCTGGTGGGGTGTGATTCCACTTAGGGAGTAAATAATGGTGAAATGTGTGCCAGAGTATTTGTAGGGGGGCCTCGGGTGCAGGGCCGGGGCTAGGAGCAAGGGAAATGGGGGCCCGCGGGGGCCTGGGACAACAGGCCGCTGACCTGTCGTGCAGGTGAGTTAGATACACACACATACACCCTGGGCCCAGGGTACAACCCCAGGCTCCTAGGCCAGGTGCCCAGCCTGTTACAACAACCAGACCACAAAACTTCACCTGAACTAAACTTAACTGCCTTTGCTTCTTAAGTGGTTTATTTTACTGAGCGCTTGCTGGGTGCTGGGGACACGAAGAGGGTGAGAGAACCAGCCCCTGGGACAGTGTGGCTGCCAGCAGCTAGGG